CACTTGACTTGTGAGTTTGAGATAGATAAATGAGTACTATGTCAATTATATACCATAGAAATCACCAAACAGTAGACATAGCCTAAGAAAAAAGAACGATAAGACACACCTGCCTGATTTCACCTGGTGGTCAACGCCACGCCATAAGCTTCATGAAAAGACAGGCGCTCCATCATGAAAATGTTATGGCAGAGGCCGACATCGCAACGGTCACAAACCTTGCTTATTTTCTTTTCGATCGAGAGTACATGCGCATACAAATTATTCAGGTTCCTATGGGTGGTCACAGGACTGCCCCGAATAACTGATATCACTCAAATCTCATAGACGGTTTCTACTGATTATCACGGATGTCTGCATCTACGTAAGAAGAACGGTGCCATCGTGCTGATGCGGATGAACCATCGTTGTTAATGAACAGACAACTAGCCTAAGTCAAATGCCAAGCTCGCGTCCGTCAGAGCACTCTTTCGAGATCGGATGGAGTGGAATGACAACCATATGGTCCCGTTACTCGATGACGCCCGCACACGACGTTGCTACAAAGAAACGGTGAACCGAAATAGCAGGGTTTGCTATCCATCACATCCTACTCTTCATGGGACACGAGGATCAACGACGAATGACTAAATCACGTGTTTGTGGCTAAACTGTAAACAACGGTTGATTGAAGATTGACGTCGAAGCGAAGGTTTTTTCCCGATGATGATGCACGAACACCAAGAACGTTTAGAAACCAGACCATCGGCGGAAAAAATAGACGAATGCAGAAAGCAGATTAATTTCGTAATATCTCCTCGTTAATCCTTACATCAGACTTCAAAACATCTCGCACTATAGTAGTACGGGACAAACAGTCCTGAAGATCAAATAATGAACAAATGCACGAATCGCACGTAAGCACCAAAAAACGCTGACGATGTCCTTCAAAAGCGGAAGTAGCTGGAGAAATCTATTATAAATCTTAACAACAATCAAACAGGTCTGATCGTTAATCAGGCTAACAAGAATTGTAACACAGCCAATGTAACGAGTGACAGTAAATTTAGAGTACTCTATCTAGGAAAAACGAAAACTACTTATAGGTCGTACGTCACGATGAAGTACCATTTGTGGATTTTGTCATAACTGCAACGGAAACCGTAGGGATACATTATAAATCTTAACAGCCAAACAAATGAATGAAAAATCACCGGCTTATGTTACCCCTGAAACACAGTCATTCATACACCGTCTCTCCAAGAAACTACAGCAGCTGGACAGAGCTGTACATATTAGACGTCGAGCAACGAATCGAAACGTGTATGGCGTCAGAAAAAAGAAAAACGCAGCGTTTATGGCATTTTCATCAACTGCAATGTAAAAACCTTACCACTGAAGCATACACCATTCACTTCGGTTCACCGCCATCACACCAAAAAATAAGACAGCATTTTTGCCATGTGGGAAAAAAAGAACAGAGAAAGTTTGCAACCGTTAGAATGTTGC